AAACTTACTGAGGGTGCATTCTATCTCCTCATCAAGATCATTGATAAAGATGTTAAAAAGAAGTGGTCCCAACACCGAGCCCTGAGGAACCCCACTTGTGACCGGCCACCAGCTGGATTTAACTCCATTCACCACCATTCTCTGGGTCCAGTCGTCCAGCCAGTGTCTTATGCAGGAGAGCGTACGGCCATCCAAGCCATGAGCAGCCAGTTTTTTCATCAGAATGCTGTGGGAGACAGTGTCAAAGGCTTTACAGAAATCCAGGTAGACAACATCCACAGTCTTTCCCTCACTGACCAGGCGGGTCATCTTGTTACAGAAAGAGATCAGGTTCATCAAGTAGGACCTTCCTTTCATAAACCTGTGCTGACTGGACCTGATCACCTGGTTGTTCTGTATATGGTGCGTAACGACACTCAGGATGATCTGCTCCATGACCTTCCCTGGCAATGAGGTCAGACCGACAGGTCTGTAGTTCCCTGGATCCTCCTTTCGTGTGGATGGGTACCACATTTGCTACCCTTCAGTCCACTGGGATCTCCCCAGTTAGCCAGGACTGCTGGTAAATGATGGAAAGAAGCTTGGCAAGTGCATCTGCCAACTCCTTCAGTACTTTTGGGTACAACCCAGCCAGCCCCATAGACCGACAGATGTTTAGGTGGTGTAGCAGGTCACTGACCACTCTCTTGGATTACATTCTGTCCCATCTCCCCCTTTTCCAGCTGAAGGGACTGGATGTCTAGGGAACAACCAGTTTGACTGCTAAAGACTGAGGCAAAGAAGGCATTTAGTACCTCAACCTTTTCCTCATCCTTTGTCACTGTTTCCCCCTGCATCCAGTAAAGGGTGGCGATTCTCCCTAGTCCTCCTTTGTTGTTAACGTATTTATAGAAAGATTTTTTATTGTCTTTGACATCAGTAGCCAATTTGAATCTGAACCTGCTATAATGGTCATTTCAGGTTAGAGCCCCAGGGGTGATGCAAGAAACATTCAATGTAACTGCTTCTACCAGCTGCTGTAGATTTCTACAGTAAGACATTGAGAGCAGAGATGCCACCTGCTTCTTGCTTACAATGGTCCAAGAAAACAGCATCTGGGGAAAGCATTGTGCTGGAGGGAAGATTAAAGAAGCAGCATGCAAATGGAAATGATGAAATAGGAAAGTCTGGACTGGATGGGAGGAGGAAAAAAACATGTTGCATGATTTGCCTTGACGGAATGAAAAGCAGATTCAGACTGGAAACAAAATGCGGAGCTAAGGAAGTAGGGGAAGGACAAACCTAGAAAGCCCCAGAAAACTGTGTTAGACTTTGGGCATCAGAAAAAAACCAAAAATGCCTTTGACCTCTCCTTGACCTTCCAAAATGTCCTGGTTTGAGCCAGGATGAAGCCAATTTTTCTTTTTACTGAGTTTTTTTTCCTTCAGTAAGCTTTCTTGTAACTAGCAACAGTGTGTTCTGCTAGGCTGATAAGACAGTGGAATGTTTTTCTAACTACTGAGGCTTCAAGGCTGCACCTGCACTCTGCCAGCTCAGACACTATGAGGAGATCTGTGACCCCCCCGTAGGAGGCTGAGTTAGACGGACAGCAAAATTGGCCAAAGATATTCCATTCCATATATCTACGTAAGCTAAAAGGAAGGTCAGAGATCACAGAAGACAACTTCCTTCCTTCTTCTTCTCCCCTTCTCTTCCGTCCATGGCCGGCGTCCAGGGAGGACTCTGTTCATCCATCACCGTCAATCCTCAGGCTTGATCTCTCCTGACCCCCATAACTCTCTGCTCTGTTCCAGCAGCAGCTCCGGGATTCCTCGGGACTCTTCCCAGTTCAGGGAAGTGCTGTGGGAGTTGCTGGGGTGGGGGGAGGCGAGAGGCTTTTGCCCACACCTGAATATATCTGTATATAATTGTATATATTTTATTGTATGATTCATTGGTGTTTTAATTAAAGCTGCGTAGTTTAGTTTTCAATCCAGCCAAGTCTCTCTCTTTTTCTCTCTCTCCTTCCCTAGCTGGGTTGGGGGAGGGGGGATCGAGAGCATTGTTGTCGGACCTAAGTCAAACTGTGACACAAAAGTAGCTGGATAAGATCCCATAATACTTGAGCCTCATCACCCTTGTTGGTCAGTACATGACAAAACTGTAAAACATGCATCGTATTTCCATCAAACTAATCTATCTAGAAATTGCAGGTTATCATTCTTCAGCCATTCTAAACACATTCTGCAGCAGATCCAAGAGCTCCTACCTTGATCTTATGAACACTTTTCATTACATGACTTTTCATTACATACTTTTGTACTTCAAAGGTTGTTATATTTTCTAAGATGTTAAATACTATTAGGATTGTTAAACTTAGTACTTAAAATTAGGAATTTAAAAAGTTATTGGCACTCAGACAACATTAATTTAGCCATCTAATAAAGGACACTACAATACAATATCATTGCAGAACAACATGAATACCATTCAGTATGGTTTCAGCACAGTATTTGCACCATTTTTTCCCCTGGAAGACACCTCTGAAGGTGCTTTGTAAATCTGTAACGAAAGTGTGGGTGCTCATCACGGGTCTAGAGGGCAAAAATAAGTGGAGTACAGGTTGCAGATGGAGTTCATGGTAGTTTAGCATGTAGTACTCTTGGTAGTTCACCACTATCAAACTACAGTCTCTCTCCATTGTCATACAAGCCCTTCTGCCGCACCATAGTCAGTAATAAAAAAAAACCAGAAGTCACTACCTCAGACCAAAAATTCTACATTCTTGGGAGGCTTCCATTGGAAGGATATTTTTATCACGAATGCTGAGCGCTCAGATCTGCAATTTGAAATCAAGGAGACCACTTGTTAAAAAATAAAAAACTGTAACATAAAGCTAGTATTCTTAGACATCAATCTGAGCTGACATATTTCAAGTTAATCTTTCCAATTTTCTACTATGCAAATGGAAAACCAAATTTATTAGAACTTTTTTCCACAGAAGCATGAAAACAAGCGTGCTGGGTTTTTTTCTTTCCTTTTTTTTTATCCTGGTGTTTGCCTTTGAAAAGTAGTCATAGTATACATTGATGATACATTTTATACAATTTTATATTCAAATTTAAACTCAATTCTGACTATAACCTCAAAGCTTTTATAGTGATGTATGTGAAAATTCAGTTACACATCACACTACATTTACTGACTTTTCCAGGATGCAGCAGCCGTATTTCCCTTGAAAGAAGGGATAAATACAACAATGTAAAGTTCTGCCAAATCAAAACAGTATGAAGGACTGAGTCTGCCTTTGGTCATCTGTACCACAGTAACACGTTCAAGATAACAAGTACATGAATAATAAAAAATGGCTGGCTCAACTCTCCTTCATAAAGGATGCCACCAATGGAATCTGCCTTTTGGCTAACAACTACAGGCAAAAGGGCTAACAACATTCACACTCAAGTCCAAGGCCTTAATTATGAAAACGTAAATCCTCTTCCCAAATACACTGTAAGACAAACTTTATCTGCAGAAAGCAGACCATCCTCACCACTGATTTCCAGTCCTAGCAGATACCATCTTAACATACCACCTAACCAAGGGTCCGGACATTTAAAAAAATACCTAATATTTTAATGAAAAAAAATTGTCATTACCATATGTCACAGCTGGCACCGTGCAGGACTTTCTTCCTATCACTGGAAGGTTAATTTTTCAGGTTCACATCAAGAGTTTTTTGTTACCCATAGTTAATCACCCAACATTTTTGCTGAACTCGTACAACTGAAGCGTTACTTTCTAGCACCAGGTGCTACACTATCACTTCTTAGGAAGCTCTGCATAAACCTTTCACTCCACAGAAGATTTTATATTAAAAAGAAAATTGCCCTAAAGAAGGCGGGTTTTGCACTAGCAGCAGCAGCTCCATTTGCAAAATAGTATTTTCAGTTTAAGAAAGATATTTTCAGGGCAGCTCTGGAGGTGAAAGGCAGAGCAAGACCCACACGGTTTACACTCCGAGGCCTGCAAATGCCGGCTGCCTACCCCGAGGCTTCAGTGACAGCTCTTCCG